TAGCTCCACTGTTCCTCACACTTCCTCATTTGGCATGGGTCTGAAGCGTAAGAGGCAGGCTGAGGTTACCGAGGCAACGGGTCAGGGTCCGTCTGCCTCGCTCTGCAGAGAGGCTAGACACGCTGCTATAAGCGATACAGGGAGTAAGGACTCCCCTGTTTCGCGCAGCAAGACAAAGAGAAGAGCTGTGGTTACCGAGGCAACGGGTCAGGGTCCGTCTGCCTCGCACTGCAGAGAAACAAGGCACGCTGCTATAAGCGGAACAAAGGGCAAGGACTCCTCTGTTCCGCGCAGCAAGACAAAGAGAAGAGCTGTGGTTACCAAGGCAACGGGTCAGGGTCCGTCTGCCTCGCACTGCAGAGAAACAAGGCACGCTGCTATAAGCGGAACAAAGGGCAAGGACTCCTCTGTTCCGCGCAGCAGGGCAAAGAGAGAAGCTGTGGTTACCGAGGCAACGGGTCAGGGCCCGTCTGCCTCGCACTGGACAGAGGCAGAGCACGCTGCCATAAGCGAAACAAGGGGCAAGGACTCCTCTGTCTCGCGCAGCAGGGAAATGAGACAAGCCGTGGTTGCCAAGGCAACGAGTCAGGGTCCGTCTGCCTCGCACTGCACGGAGGCAGAGCACGCTGCTGTAAGCGAAACAAGGAGTAAGGACTCCTCTGCATCGCGCAGCGGGGCAAAGAGACAGAGGCAAGCTGTGGTTACCAAGGCAACGGGGCAACACAGACTTCCTCGGCCCTTTCGTGGATCCCCCCTCCTCTGTGAAGGCACCAGGAGTGTGGGGGGAATTAAGATCAGGTCTCACGAGCCCGGTGCCCCCTCTCACGTCTTTTTATCAGGTCTGGAGAGAGCAGGGGCTCCTCTCAGACGCATGGTTGGACAGGACGTTACGCAGAGGTTATGCCCTACAGTTTGCGAGGAGACCACCGCCGTTCCAGGGCGTTCGAGCGGCAAACTCCAGGCGACACGGGACAGAAGAGGCTCTCCAAGAGGAGGTAGCCTCCCTGTTACTAAGAGGTGCTGCGATCCAGGTCGACCCACAGGACGCTCACAGAGGGCTGTACTCCCCTTACTTTCTGGTCCCCAAAAAGACAGGGGGGGTGCGCCCTATTCTGGATCTGCGCGCACTCAACCAGTGCATCTCCAGGCGGCCGTTCCGCATGCTCACTACGAAGCAGCTACTGGAATGCGTCAGACCCGGAGACTGGATGACCTCCATCGATCTGACAGACGCTTATTTCCATGTTGCGATAGTGCCAGAGCACAGACGCTTTCTGCGCTTCGCTGTGGGAGAAAGGTGCTACGAGTACTGCCGCCTCCCGTTCGGGTACGCTCTGGCCCCCCGCACTTTCTCGAAATGCGTGGAGGCAGCCCTGATGCCGCTCAGACAAGCAGGGGTCAGGATCTTAACCTACATCGACGATTGGTTAATTCTGGCACAGTCCAGGGAGGTAGCCCTGGAACACACGCTCCGGGTTCTGTCTCACATACAACAGCTGGGTTTTGTGGTGAACAGAGAGAAGAGCAGATTACAGCCTGCCCAGCGCGCGCTCTACCTCGGGCTGCAGCTGGACTCGGTGGAGTTCCGAGCGGCTTTGTCCAGGGACAGACAGGAGAGCCTCTCACAGCTGGCCACCAGGGCGCTGACTGCCCCCAGCGTGTCTGCTCGTTGCCTCAGATCGCTCCTGGGGATGATGGCAGCGGCCCATGCAGTTATACGTCTGGGTCTTCTCCACATGAGAGGTTTTCAGAGATGGTTCTCCGGTCTCAGGATTCACCCCTCCCGGGACGCAGCGACCATGCTCGTAGTTCCCCCCAGGGTGAGATCAGACATCAGCTTCTGGCTCACCCAGAGTGTGATGAGGGACGGGGTTCCCCTCAAAGGCGCCGTATCACACGTGGAAGTGTTTACGGACGCCTCTCTCGAGGGGTGGGGAGGGGTTCTGGGCCAGAGCTCCGTGGGAGGGCTCTGGTCAGACCCATCTCCGCACATCAATATACTGGAGATGGAGGCAGTGCGCAGGGTGCTACTGCACTTTGCACCGCTGTTGCAGGGGAGGCACGTGATGGTGCGCTCAGACAACACCACCGTGGTGGCCTACATAAACAGGCAGGGGGGCACGAGATCCCCCGCTCTCCATCGTCTGGCGGCTCTCATCCTGATCTGGGCAGATGCGAATCTGCTGTCTCTCAGGGCACGCCACGTTCCCGGAGACAGGAACACAGGGGCGGACCTGATGTCCAGGGGGGGCCCACTCAGGGAGGAGTGGGGCCTGGCCCCGCAGATAGCAGCGCAGGTATGGCAGAGGTTCGGTCGACCACGGGTCGACCTATTCGCCAGTGCAGGCAACGCGCTGTGTCCACTTTGGTTCGCGCTGCGGCCCACAGACAATCCACCTCTGGGGGTGGATGCCCTGGCGCATTACCCGTGGCCGGGGGGTCTTCTGTATGCGCTTCCCCCGACTCGCCTCTTGCCGGTTCTTCTGAGGAGAATCGAGCAGGAGGGTCGGGAAGTGATCCTCATCGCCCCGGACAGCCCGCATGCCCTCTGGTTCCCGTTCCTGAGGGGCATGGCGGTGTGCGACCCTTGGCCTCTCCCGGACGAGCCCGGGGCTCTGGTCCAGGGAGGGGGGACGCTTCACTCGCGTCCGGTACTGGGCCGCAGACTCTGGGTCTGGAGGCTGAGAGGCGGACTCTCGTAGGTCTGGGTCTCCCCCAGTCGGTGGTGGAGACCATTCAGGGCGCGAGGGCCCCTTCCACTATCAGGGCCTACGGCTGTAGGTGGAAGGTTTTCAGTGACTGGTGCGCGGCCCGGTCCTGGGACCCCATGTCCTGCCCTCTGGAGGGAGTGCTGAGCTTCTTACAAGAGCTATTAGAGAAAGGGAGGGCTGCCGGCACCCTGGCGGTGTTCGCGGCAGCCATTGCCTCTGGCCACGAAGGGTTCGGAACCTTTTCGGCTCGTTCCCACCCGCTGGTCAAGCGTTTTCCTTCGGGGGGCCCACCGAAAAAGGCAGGTTCCTCAAAGGACCCCCCCACTCTGGGACCTTAAAGTGGTCTTGAAGGGATTATCGGGATCTCCCTTCGAACCTGTGGCCCAGGCCAGCCCTGAGTGTGTGGCTCTCAAGACTGCCCTCTTGCTGGCGTTGGTCTCAACCAAGAGGGCAGGGGAGCTATGCGCACTCTCCGTTTGCCCGGAATGTCTAGCATTCGGTGCTGAGGACGGTGTGGCTGTACTTTGGCCGAACCCAGCCTTTCTGCCTAAGGTTGTTACTTCGGCTTTTAGGTCAAGGGTCATCAGGGTCCGACCCTTTCACCCGCCGCCTCATGCCTCCGAGGAGGAGGAGCGGCTGCATCTGTTGTGCCCAGTCAGGATGCTGAGATCCTACCTGGCGGTTACAGCCTCCTTCAGACGGTCGGATCAGCTGTTTGTATGCACAGGCCCTAAGAACAGAGGCGCACCGTTGACGCCCCAGAGGCTGTCCCACTGGGTGTCTCGGGCGATTCGCTTGGCTTACCAGGCTCAGGAGTTGGTTCCCCCGGTGGGGTTCAGGGCGCACTCCACACGAGGAGTCGCGGCCTCCACAGCTCTGCTCCGGGGTGCCTCTGTGGAGGACGTCTGCCAAGCCGCGTCTTGGGCTTCGTCCTCTACCTTTGCCCGGTCTTATTTGGTGGACGTGGCAGAACGGTCGGTTGCCCATTCCATTCTGAACGCAGGGGTCTGACTCACCGTGGCCGACCCGCGACCTGTGGTTAGTCTAGTCCGAGCTCCAGGTACGCTGGACGGAGGCGTCTTGGGGTCGAGACCCGCTCTTCCCGTTAATCGGTTGCCATACTCCAGGAGCTCTTGGTAGAGGCGTCCGGGGTATGGTTTTTCACTCTTCTCATACCTCAGGAGCTCTTGGTAGAGGCGTCCTAGGTATGTTCCCTGCTGGCTCCTACGGGAGTCTTGCCTGAGCGTGGGCGTCCTTGATAGGAGCGGCCCTTGCTCGGTGTTTTGCTCCTCAGGAGCTTGTCAGTGTCACTCAGGCGTCCTTGGTAGGAGCGGCCTCGTACACTGCTCCTTCTTCTTCCTGCCCCGAGTCCATGCGCCTTGATAGTGCGGCGGGAACTCGGGCAGGGCTCCAATCACTCTACGCTGGCCTGATGGGAGTACATTCTCCGACGGCTTACGCGTGGTTACCCATAGCGAAGCCTAAGGGGCGTTAGCACCATGATGTAGAATTGATAGTTACCTAATGTAACTCAAGTTCTACGAATGGTGCGTAGCCCCTTAGCTACGGGCCCATCAGTCCAGCATGGCTTTGGCTGAGTTCAAAGTGGTTGGTACGGGCCGTAGAGGGCTATTTATAGATGGGACTGGCAGGTGATTGGAGCATTTAGTTCTCTCTGGCGGGAAGCAAGATGCTTCAGGAGTATACCCATAGCGAAGCCTAAGGGGCTACGCACCATTCGTAGAACTTGAGTTACATTAGGTAACTATCAATTTCGCTTCATTTAGTATTTCACACTTTTCCACCAACAAATATAGTCATTATCAAGTATTCCCGGAACTTGTGGAAGTAGAGAGACTGGTCTATAATTTGTAAAAAAAAGAAAGAAAATTTGTATACTTTTTTTTCCCAGCAATTTACAACACCTTAGCCATCCAAGGACGTTTTACATAATATTCTCACTAGGAGTATACAAGTCCATAAATTATTAAAAACTGTCAAAATCTTGCTCTCTATATGCTAATCTGTGCCTCTAAATCAACCTTTAGTGAATCAATGTAATTATTAAAAATCATACCAACCAGTCATATGACCACAAGAATCTTAACACTATCCTGCATATTTACTTGTACATGTGTTGTATACTATGTGATGTGCATTAATGTGTACTATTCCTTTCAAATTAGCAAATAAAAAACATGGAAAAATCAATACGTTTAACATTTTTATTTGTAGACACTGTCCATATCCTCACGGGCGGGGCCTGGTTCGCGAGAATGGCTCCAAATGCTACCAGTTCTTTCTGTTCTTGTTCTTGTTCTTGTTGTGTCTCTTTCGGTTGTTTTTTACTTGTACAATGTACAATGGTTCCGACGACTTCTCCTCCGTTTTTGTTGCGTTTGCTTTTGAGACCTCCTGGTTTGTCTGGCAAACATGGCATGATGGAGGAATGGCTGTTTTGTCTTCAGGTGTACCCCCGTGTTGCTTTTCTCTCTCAGGTCCACTCTGTACCTGTTTACGTTCGGCTCTTTCGGGTCCGTCCAGGCCCTCCATCGACAGCCGCAGCGAAAGTTCAAACTCGGGCGATTGGTTTCCAAAATGCACCAGAGTCACTTTGAGATGTTTCGCCGCCAGTATCTTCACCAACTCCTCCAGGTCTTTTGACAGTTTGCGTTCAATCTCTTGGTATTTGTCCTTTTGCTCGAGCCAGGCCTTCTGCGCCGCCTCCCACGCCGCGTGCACTCGCAGCGTCTCCTGTAGACCCTCCACGACCTCAGTCATTTTCGCCTCCATTGTTTTTGCCAAATACAAAGCTAAAGCAAAGAAAAAAGTGTATGTGATGATGTTGCAGCTGCTGTTGAAAAGCTTGTTTGGATTGTGATGGCTGTTGCTAGGTTACAAGATGCAAGATGATGTTTGAATGATGCCAACAGTCCATGCATTCTGTTGCCGTGGAGAATGCAGCAGTCAGTGCTAGCGAAATATGTGAAAGATTCTGTGACTAAAGTATTTAAAAATATTTCTTTTTGTGTGTCTGTGCCACCTGATTGATACGTTTTATTATAATAATAATCATTATTAATATCATATAACATTGTGAACTTGTGCAGGTTATATTTCAGATTTCTGTCTCCATTTTAAACTTGATTTCAATATGTCTGTTTCTATAGCAACACATCTCACTGTTTAACAATTTTTATCATTATATTTCATGAGTACTTTTATTCCTTGACAAAAACAGCTTTTGACGATAGTATTATATTATTACAGCGTTTCATCAGTATAGGGTTGGGTTATGAATGATACTTACTTATCTTGTGTTGTGTGCCCATTATTCCTACTGTTCTGTTGTGAATTTAGAAGGCCTTTAGTTTTTGATGTGTAAATAATCTGCTTGGGATCTTCAGAACTTTGTGACTTTTTATACATGTTAGAAGTTCTATCCTTAGCTCATTTTCCACCAGAGAAAATAAAGTACCAGTTACCATAGTAACACACTGTTTACTGTCAGCGTTAGCTTTTGTCTTTTTAGCAGTATAAAAAGATGTAATAAATCTGCAGAAAAACAGGGAATTTTTCAGAATGTTGAATGGGAGCAGTCAAAAGGACGGCTCTGGGTGTTCTAGGAGTTTCAGAAATCTGGGAGTCCTGTGTCAAACTTATTTATTTATTGGTTTTATGTTTATTTGATATGGACAGAAAAAAAAGCATTGTTGCAAATAACTAACAGATATATAGCTAACATCACATTAACAGATCATTATAAAAACACAGATTACACAGTACAAAAAATATACCATAGAATATTAGAATCTGCTTCACTTTCACCTTTGTTCTTGGATGCATCCAGAAAACAAAACAATTGTTTAGTTTGAATTTACAAAAACAAACCACTTTGACTGTGGTGATGATCCAGGACACACATTCTACAAACTCTGATCTTTTTTGACGACTTCAATGGTTCTGTTAAGTCCTCTGCTGCTGTGATTTAGGGCTATACGAGAATAAAGTGAATTGAATTGAATTTTGGTTAGATATACACTGATGCCCATGTCCAAGGGTAAAGTCAAATATATGTGGATGTAGTCGTGAAATGGCTTGTCTAACTTGCTGCATCATATTATCAAAGCCCTTTCCCATGCAGCCACAGACCATATCCAAGAACCATTAAAACCTGTCGAGGGATGAGCAAATAAAATTCCTCGCTAAATATTTCCGCATGCTGGGCTTGAACTTGGAGTAGACTAAATGAAAAGCAATCTTGTTATCCCGAGAAAGTGCCAGATATTGACTAGAACTGGGCCGCACATGTGAAACCCTCCAAAACCACACACGTTGGTAATTATTCAGCCGTTTTATCACTCCTGTATATGTGTGTGTGTGTGTGTGTGTGTGTGTGGGTGTCCCTTATCCAATTGGCGACCAAAAGCAGGTTTAATGGCATAGCACGGTAATAGCAGCTTTATGGTGGGGTGTAAATGGCATGGATGCACAGTTGTTGAGCATATGGTACGCGGCTTTGCTGACACCGCACTCTGGGGATGGTGCAGAGAAACTATTTCAAAAGAGAAAAATGAAAGAAATAAACTGGATATGTGGATGAGCAGTTGAGCAGAAAAGAGGTACGTCTGCAAAAGTCTGGGAATACCTGAACTTGAAACGCGAGTTGTACTTTTTTTCTTCAATTTCATCCTAGATTTGACCAAAAAAAATGTGGTGGGTCAAAGATTGAAGCAGGAGTACTTAAACTTGTTTTCCTCATAAATAATACATGGTTGTCTCAGCAGAAATTGTCTTTTAAAAGTAAATTGTTTTCTTACAAATCAGGCCAAAACATGCTGTCTATCTTTAGCACACGTGCAAGAAAGAGCCCTGTGATTGGCTGAGTGGGTGGTCCTCTCTCTCGCTATCTGTCGCAGAAAATACATGTATGTGAAAACAAGTGATGGAACCAAACTGTTTTGACTCTTTGCTTTTACGCGCAGACAAGGTTTGGTCTTCTTTGGGGAATAAAAAAAAAAGCATTTTAATAAGACATCACATTTCTCACAAACAGGAGTGAGATTATGTGCACATCTGTCTTCATGTCTGTGGTTTTACTGTGAAAAAACATCATCTAACGCCATCCATCTAAAAACACTGCAGCCTACCTCACAACACATGTGTCTCCAGGTTCCAGTGATACCAAAAGGAAAATTGTCCAATTGCTATAATGTGGTACAAGACTGATCCACATGTTGTTTGTGCACAGCCTCAGTCCTCTTTCTACAGCCTCAGTCCTGGATCTATGGTTCCATGAATGTTGATATATATATATATATATATATACCAGTGTGAACGCTTACTTCATAATGACTATCTGCACTGATAGAAATAAATGTTGGGTGTAATAAATGTTATCATATAAAACTATATAATTCCTACAGTGTTAAATTAAGAAACTGTGTTTACGTACTTTTGTTATTTAAAATTGTGCACCAAAACGTGATTTAATAATTTAAAAAGGGGGCATTGAATAGTAACTGTAACAGTTACTTCATTTATGGAATTAGTCTATATTCTATCAATGAAAAAACACGAGTAAAATGTATTTTAAAAAATCGAAGCTCCTGTTTGAATTAGCAAATTAATTAATTGAGTGGGAAGAGTACATCTTATAACAGATTTGCTCATACCATTTACATGCTTTATTGTCACAGCACCAACACCTGAAAAAATCAAGTAGTGTTGATTGAAAAAAACATGTATTGGGCGAAGTAGTGACGCTACCCAGAATGCATTGCAGAGAAAAATATAAAATTCTGAAACATTCTACATTTGAGCATTCATTTTGGGAGTGATATGAAGCAACTCCTAAAGCAAAATACGTGAGCAACATTTTGAATAAACTAATTTGACACAATAAATAATTTTAAATGATTTTCACCAACCATAATCGACAGGGCTAAGCCAAAGTATCCCTAAACTTCCTGAAATTCCACTTACCAAGTCAAAATATTACATTTGAAGTTTGGAGCTTGCTCACTGGACTTGGTGATATCTGAGTTCTGAAAGAGTAATAAGCGCTTGTGCCCCTCAGTTATTTTAGTTAAAATAATCAAAACTGTCACAAAATAACTTCTTTGAACTGCTGTAATAAATATTATTGCAATGATATCAAACATACTGATAAAATATAAATAACATTTATTCAAGTTATCCATTATTGTAAATGATCTGTACACATAATGGTTGCTCAATATTTCTATTACATGCGTACAAATACTTAAAAATTACTTAACCCATTATTTTGTGTAATCAAGTGTTTACTTACAAGTAACATTTATATTATACTTAATAAAAGGAAAAGAGTTTTTCTTGATTTATAGTAGTAAACTTTAAATAATATATCTTTGTGCAAATTCTTACGAGGATTTTTTTAAGTAAATGTTAAACACGATTTTTTTCAGTGTGGTATGGAAGGCTATCATATACAGTATGTGCAACTTTAAAGCTAGTCCTAACAGACAGAATCTTATAAAAGTAAAAGTAAAATGTTGTAAAATAGAGCACAACATGCAGTCTCTATTTGACGCTTTGGGGTCAGAGCTGATTGGTTGAGTGGGAGCGGTCCCTTTTTCACTTTTCTGTCTGAAAAAGTTGATCCAAAGACAGTGTGACAGAGGTCAAAAATACTACTGAAATTAGTCATGGAAGCAAACTGTTTTGAGGGCAAGGGATTAGTTACATGTATTTGAGTTATATACTACTTTAATACGTTAGACATGTTTCTACTCAAACCCTCTTGAAAAAAAAATCATGATAATTATCGCTGTTTTTTTATTATTCCAAGGAAACATTTACTTTGTATGGTTCTCATTCAAACGCAAATTTCATTCAACACAAAGACGCCATTATTGGAGCTGCCTTACCCTCCTAACATTTCTTTCTTTTCACAGACCATTCTAATCCTCCATTTTAAATTCTACTGTAGTTTCTTTCACCGTTAGTCGCTTCATTCTCATTTCTGTCCGAGATAAGCTCGCACGCACTTATTTAGAGCGACATCCTAAACCACATACACTCATTATATTATCTGTAACACTAGAGCAAAAGCATGTTCTGTCTGCTCAAAATGAATTCATGTAAAAAAAGGCCTGATTCGTGCTTCGGATAGAGCGTCGCTGTACAGTTTAAACTCCATTCAAGCCACGAGCCATTGAGCGTTTCCCCAGCACATAAAGCACTGCTAATGGGAGCATTATACAGACGAGCAGCCAGCCCCAGTGTGGCAGGTGCCTCTCTGTGCCGGAGCAGGAAGAGGACAGCTGCACACAAGAGGTACGGCTTTTTTTCATGTCATTTGGAGACAAACCAATTTTTCTTTCATCATTCACATCTCATGGATCTTAGTAGAAATAATCATAATAGTCATAATAATAATAACAATGCATTGGTTTTATGTAGCGCTTTTTGAACACCTAAAGTTGCTTCTCATGTCTTTATTCTTTCACTCCAAACACAGCGATAAACTACTGTAGCCAGAGCTGCCCTGGGGCATACTGACAGAAGCAAAGGAACCAGTATGTGCCATCCATCGGCCCCTCCGACCACCGCCAACCATTTAAAAATGGTATAAAATATTTTGGGGCGGACCAATGGAACGAAACCAATGGGACCCGTCCATCCCCCCTCGATCCAGTGCGCACACCTGTCTGAGTTGTTATTTTCTGTCTGTTATTTTAGTCCGATTTTCTAAAACGCCTACAATGGCTGAACCAAAAATCTCCAAAGTGCCACTT